AGAACCTTGGGGGCAGGTATTTGCTGTGGACGTCCCCCATACTTGGTATCAGAGCCCTCTTCCAAAGGGATATAATTGGCTTTGTTTTATTTTTTCTTAATTAAAAAAACTTTTTCTAATTGTACATGTTTATGGGATATAGTTTGTTGTTTCAATACATGCATGTATTGTGCAACAATCCAATCAGAATAGTTAGCATATCTACCACCTAAACGTTTATCATTTCTTTGTGGTTATAGCATTCAAGATCCTCTTTTCTGGCTTTCTTGAAACATGCAATAGGGTTAGCTATTGTTACCCTAGAGCACCAGAACTTGTTCCTATCTCATTGTAACTTGTCTACCAACCTTTCCCTGACACCCCCACCCCTCTCCCTTTCCCTGCCTCTGGTAATCACTACTCAATTTCTTTTTAATTTATTTTTCTTAATTGTTCCATGATAACTATATATATATTTATGGAGTACAGTATGATATTTAGGTAGATTCATATTGTGTGCAATGATCATACCAGGGTGCTTAGCGCAAAGAGATGTAATTGACTTTGGAGTCAAGGTAGAGGAAAGCTTAACATACTTTAAATAATACTTTCTCTAATTTTCAGACTTATTTATTTATTTATTTTTGGCAGCTGGCTGGTACGGGGATTTGAAACCTTGACCTTGGTGTTATAACACTGCACTCTAATCAACTGAGCTAACCAGCCAGCTAATTTTCAGACTTTTATTAAAAATGTAATTTCTCTTTTGTCCATTTTATTCAATCCTGTTCTGTTCTCTTAGATTTACTTTTCTAGCTTTTAATCATCTTTTTGTACTTCTCTGTCAATGGGTGACTTTTGATGTCCAAGGGTGACTTTTTAAACAAACTGTTACTTTAAATATTGCTTTTTCTTTTAACTTTTATTTTGATATTATACTAGACATACAGAAAAATTGTAAGAATATTATGAAGAATTATTGTATACCTTTCATCCACATTCTCCAAATGATGACATTTTTTTTTCCTTTTTGTCTTTTTTACTGACCGGCAACGGGATCACAACCCTCGGTGTTGTGCCCGCACCGCGCTCAGCCAGTGAGCGGGAACCGGTCTCCATATGGGATCTGAATCCTCAGCAGGAGCGCCGCCGTGCTCCCAAGCGGTGCACTCTCCAGTGCACCACCGGGCCGGCCCCAAATGATGACATTTTAATGCACTTGTTTTATCCTTTTCTCTTTCTATCTCTCGACTACCTATTTTTTTCCTGAAGCATTGAAATAACTACACATAAGATGCCTCTTTGTCCCTAAGTAATTCACTATGTATTTCCTAAAAGCAAAGGAATTCTCTTGTGTGGCTACCATATAGTTTTCAGAATTGGGAAACTAGCATTGATACCGTAGAATTATCTAATTTATAGACCTCATTCAGATTTTACTATATGAAACAATAATGTCATTTTTAGAGGAAGAAAATCCCAGATCATGCAGTTTATTGAGTTATCATGTCCTTTGGTCATCTTTAATCTGGAATAGCACTTTCTTTTCTTTCAAGACAGTAACATTTTTGAAGAGTATAGACCAGTTTTCTGTAGATTGTCCCTTATTTTACATTTATTTGATGTCTCCTCTCAATTAGATTCAGGTTATGCATTTTTGGCAGGGCTAAAGTTAATATGTTTTAAATGGATATTAATTTTTGATTAATATTGATTTATTAAAGTTGAAAACTAGATTTATTTTCATCTTATGCTTTTATTTTACCTTAAATGTCTTGTTATTCTATATAAAAATCTAGTAAGTAATGTATAAAATAAGAACAAACAGTTTTTTGGTGTTTGCTTTAAATAATGGTCAATACATTCAAGTTGGACAGACTAAATTCCCATTAATCCATTTAATTTGTCCCATTAATCCATTTAGTTTGTAACTTAATCACATTTCTTTAAACATTTAAAGTTGTATTTGTAAATAAATATATCCAGTCTTCTTTTTAATCACTCTAAATGCCTGATAAAACACACAAGAAGACCTTAGCAAACACTTTCCTAACTACTTGGATAATTCTTGTAAATTAAAAATTAAACTTATAAATGCAATAGTTTCCTTGTTATCCTAGACATTCTAATATTAGTTAAAAACATTCATATTTTCACCTTTTACTCAATCACAAGTCTAAAATTGATTACAATCTGGCATGTTCTCCAAGATGTCAGATTCTCAAACATTCCATATACTTTAATATCTAATGTACAAAGATTATTCTGAACTTTGCACAAAACTATTAATACTATGGCTTTTATTTACTTTGGCATCTCTGTATTTAACTCCATACCTTCCCAGAGTTGCCAGCACACATGCTAACTATGAGCAGCAGGTGGGTTGAGCTTGCCATGCTAATAGTTGAGGAAACTGAGCCAGATGTATGTGCCACTATACAGTTGTTCATCTGGCAGAGATTTGGAGTTGAGGAGACATATGTCCAGGCTCTTTTTGAACTACAGGTAAGTTCATTTTCTAATTGCTGTGACAACATGAGGCTAAGCCCTGTATGGTTGCTATGACAACAGATAGTAATCCACACCCTTTACATGTGATGGATTTTCAGCCTTGGTCTCCTGGGTTGATATTCTTATGTTGTCCTTTCATCTGATTTGGGTAGATGTGTGTCTGCATCCTCATCCAGATTGCAACTGATTACCTCCACAGTTTCATTTCATTCTGCGTTTCTTTAGTTCTTGGCAGCATTATATAGTCATTTCATTCTTTCTGATTGGATTTTACATTTGCTTTCAATACCTTTGGCCACAACTCTAATGCTTCATGCTAATGAAAATGTCCTTCTCTAATTTTTTCATGTTACTTTGAATTACAGTGTTTAGAGCTTGACTTTGATTCCCAGAAAGAGTTCCACAAGTGCTGCAGAACTTGAGTATGAAAATTCCTAGGCCAGCCACTGCTTTTAACATCTGAGTGCTCTATGCACATACTGTAATTAGAGATGTCTTCATGTGTTCTCCTTTGAATTTTGTTGTTGAATTGCTTTCAAATGGATTTGAAGGCTAAATCACAGTTGAGCAGATAGACACAAAGTGGGAACAGACCATGTATAAGAATATCATGAAGTCATGGATAGTGGCTACTATTTGCTATGATGTGCTATTTACTTTTGGTAATTTAATTTCATTTTGCTTACTTAGAGTGTCTGGGGTAATGGCAATCACTCTCTGTTTTCTTGGAAAATATTCTATCCCATTAATCTTTGTTCTTTTCTGGTTTTCGTTCTTCAGTTTTGTGCAGTTATTAAAAGTACATGTTTTGGAATCAGTTGGACTTGGATTCAAATCCTACTACTGCAGTTTATTAGCTGTGTGACACTGGGCAAGTTACTGAACCTTTCAGAGCCTCCCGTGGGTAATACCCACCTCACCAAGTCGTCATAAGGATTAGATGAGGCATTGCTTGCTAAACACATAACATAGCACCTGGAGTAGATTAAGTGCTCAAAGAGTTGTAGTGGTTACTATTTGCACTTGCCATCCATGTTGTGTTTTTGTCCTCGTCCCCGGCCTCTGGTCTGCCTCATCTTCCTCTCTGACATTTTGTTGAACCCTGACCCCTGTTTTCATTTTTCTGTAAGCTTTGCGTTGCTTATATTCACTGTGTATTTCCTCTGGTTTGCAATCATGGTAGAGGAATAGTTGATGGTCCATTTATTTTAAAGATTTCTTCTCTTTGTCTCCTGGGAGAGCTCTTCAGTTTTACCTTCTGGGCCACCCCATGTTGAGCTTGGTAGGAACTCAAAAGCCATCAACCCTCTCCACCTCAGAGGGCCATTACTTGTATGTGTCCATCTTTCTTTGATCTTGGAAATTCCCAGCAGAAAATGGACATGTTTTGTAGATGCTTAGTGTGAGCTGGGACAGTGTCATCAGTTGATCCAATAATGCAAGACTGTTTTGGTTTCTACTCTTTGAAAAAGCCAGTTTCATGCTCCATTCTATCTTGTCCTTTATGGTTATAGTTGTCACTACCTTTGAGGAGGGGGTCTGGCAAAGAGGAGCTGACCACTGACTGTTAGAAATCATGATACCCATCATCCCCATGCTAACCTCCTCTTCACTTCCAGTTATGCTTTTGCTTAGATGGTCACCTATAGGAAGTGGCCAAGGAGATAGTAGCCTCAGTTACCGTGACCTTGAATGGGTTTTAAAGGCTGAATACCCCAGGGAGAAATTAACAGCAGTAGCCATACTGTTCTTGGACACTGAACAGGAGTAAACTGGACTGATTCTACAAATTTCTACCTGTCCAGGGTAAAACTAGATTTCGTCAGTGTTTTCCCCAGTTTTTCAGAGTTATAGATGAACACCGAGGCTATATGAATGATTAAATATGAAGACTGAGTACACAGAATAGTTTTGTGTAACTGAATACAGCAAAGTTGTGGATGAATATTTGTTATATACATACTCTTATAATGCTAATAATAATAACTATTTCTTAAGTACCAGATGTCAGATACTTTGAAAAAATTGTTTGTTTGAATTCTAACAATGCTTTGAGGTAAGTGCTATAACTATCTCCATTTTTATAAGTAAGAGATTAAATATATTGTGCAGAATCACATGTCCAGTAAGAGGTGGATCCAGGACTTAAGATCCATATTTGCTAAGACCAAGGACCATGCCTTAATTACTTCCCTATAATCATATATTATGAGGAGTTTTGTAATGGCTACCTTACTGGGATTTTTCCTTGCCAAATTAAGAAAATTTTGTGCCCATCAGGGAAGTCAGCAGAAAGCACTGATTTAAGGAAGAACCTGTTAACTCCAAAAATATTTTCCCTACATGTTCATTAATTCCACCAGTCCATGACTCATTGGGGTAATACGCTGCTTCTCCTTCCTAAGAAAAGTAAGGAATTATATCAGTTATTTTGCCCTGGGTGTGAATTAGTTTATCCAGTTTGCTTTCCTAACAGCAGACTGCAATGTGCTGAGTGAAAGATTTGATAGATGGGGGAGGAGAAATTGGAGGTGATTTTGGAACGCAGAGGCCCTTCAGGATATGGTAGCCAGCAAAAGTAAGGGGCTCTTGAGGGAGGAGAGAAGGGACTCAGAAGGCTGGAGAAGAGCAGGGATGCAGAACAAAAGGGGAGCCCAAGAGATAAGTTCACCTGTCGCCGACCTTTGCTGAGGATTCCTGATATTGGAATCCTTGTTGAGCCCTGGCTTTGTGTTGAGGGTTAGGCTGAGGGCTTGGGATAAAAAGTAGCCAGGACAGCAGTTTTCAGATTTCAGTATTCACCAAATGTATTGGGGGCTTTTTTTTTTTTTTAATTGGAGATTTCTGAACTCTGTTACTGAAGAGAGTCTGACCCAGCAGGTGGGGGGGTGGGCTCAGGAACTTGGATTTTATCTGTCTCCCTAGTGATTCTAATGTAGATAGTCTGAGGACAAGCTTTTGGAAACTTAGGGTTGGAGTCTCTTCCACTGGACTAGAAGGCAAGTTTACCACCCAACCCAGAATGTGATCGCGTGGCTTCTAGAAGGCTGTGGACTCCCAGGCTGAACCACTGAAGAAGTTGAATAAGAAATGGGGCTGTGTTTAATCGAACCAGTCAGAGCTCTTTAAGTCCCAGAAAGTTCTGCCTCAGGGACAGGCTGGCCTCTTCTCTTGTCCTGGCCAGTTTGGAGGTAAGGTGCCAGTGGCAGAGCAGGCTAGTTGCAGAGAACCAACGGTGGTTGGGTTGCCACTGAAAACAGGACTTTCAGTGCTGAAACCAGGACAGTCACAGGCAAGTTGACCACCCTCCCTGCACAGAAGCCCTCATTGTGTAGACGCATCACTAACTCTCCTCAGCTGTGGAAGGGCTGTGACATGATGTCTCAGGCCAGGGGCATAGCTCAATGGGTATTTTTGGTATGCCACTTGGAAAAGCTCCTTTCTTCTTTAGTGGAAAAGCTGTTTGTGGTTTAGTTTCTTTGGCTCATTTCCTGCAGCTGTAGGAGGCTGAATGTAGGTAGCCTCACCTGGCCTGAGAAGTAACTCCTCAATGCTTCATTTTTGTTAAATGTTATTATGCCAAGAATCATTGCCAGCATTTTTTGCTTTAAAAAAGAAAAAATCTCCACTGAGGCTATAACTAGGATGTGGGTTGACTGAGACTGGAGAAATTAAATCTTAAAACAGCCCCTTGGGAGGATAAGGGTGGGCAAGCACCAGAGAAAACATTTGAGGGAGGACGGGCTGTCCTGCTGGCAGAGACTCTGGGGCCTCACCTCGCCCAGTGGTTTTACAATTTTCTTAGCTTAGAGAGACCCAAGTATATTCTTAGCGAATTCAGTTCGGAAGAGGAAATGTGTGTGCTTTAGTGAGGAATGTCCTTACGGTGGAGTTCAGACTGTTTTGCTCTCAGCTTGGGCTCTGGGATAAAATAGGGCCTGTGACAGACAAAGGTCTATTTGAGCTAAAATGACTCACAAGAGGTGTCCAAAGAGGAATGAATGAGTGTGCTGGAACCAGGCCCAGTGTTGCCCTCAATTGAGGGTGGACCGGGTGAATGATCAAGCTGAAAAATCCCATTTTTGTTTTTTCGAAAAGGTATAAAATATTGAAGTGTGTGTGATGTGTGTATACAAAGATAACAAACAGGATCTGAAAGGAATTCTTAAGAAGAATTCTGAAAACTATTTTAAGCCATAGCAGCACTGTAGAATAAGAGTAGCGTACGTTCCAGGTGAAAGAGAACAGTGTTCTTCTGGGTGAACAAATCCTGACGTTTGTTAAAGCAGTGTCAGAACTCAGTAATCCCCCAGTACATGATTTGATCCCAGAAGGTTTCCTCATCTAATTTTATTTTGCATATGATAATATTAAAAGTAATTTGCAATTATTAAGCACACACTAATTGATGGGATAGTTGTGAGGGTAGGAAGGAAAATGTTCCAGAAGCTTTCTAACTGATAGGAAATCACCTGTGCATGGAAATTTGTACAAACTGGATAATTAAGGATCAATAGTAGAAAAGATAGCCCTTGAAAGAGAGACTTAAAGTTGTTTGTGATGTGGGTTTACATAGATTGAAGGGTGTCTCCTAAAACTTATGCATCATGTGCAGGAAATTCTGGAAAAAAATGAGACTGAGAGAATTAATCTTGCCCTCTGACTCTACTATTATGAAGTATTTCTAATGCTGTTGTTAAATGACCTGAAACAAAAACACCATAGATTAAGAATATTTATCCCTTATAAAGCTCCTTTGAATCTAGGAGGGTAGAACATTACTTGATTAAATTTAAGTCTTATTTTTTGTGGCATGGAAAATTTGGCATCTGTTTAGAACTTGCCTTAAGTTAATATGCAGATCGGTGGACGACTAAATGGAGGGTGACTTGTACACAGGACAAAGTTGACTGTCAGCATCAAGTGGTCCCCAGTTGGGGAGCTCTAAGGCTCTGGGATTTGAGGACATCATCTGGGAGAATCAGAGATGTTGCCATGACGGTCACATCACCCATCCAAGCTCTCCTCTGCTATTATTTTGAGACATGTATTTCTTTGGAAACAATACCCTTGGGATTAATATGGTGGGATTTTTACTGATGATAATGACTGACATGTACCGGATGATTACAATGTGCCATGCACTGTTCTGGGTGCTTTGCCTATATTAACACATATCATCCTTATAACTCTATGAAGATGCTCTATTTTTTCTCTCCTTATTTTAAGATGAGGAGGGTCTAGTGCACAGAAAAAAGAATTACTTGATCCAAAGCCACACAGCTTATAAGTAGTAGAAATAAGATAGAGTCGTGTTCCTCACCACCACCCTGCATCCTGTCCCCCATTGATTGGGACAAGAGAATTTATAACAGGTTACAGCTCACCTATAGTAAGAAGCCCTCCACTGAGCCTAGCCTCCTAAGATACCGTACTTTATCCCTTCCATGATTTAACCAGTCATTTCATTTTGTTAAACATAGTACCTGTTTTGCTCACCTTGAAGCCATGACTTGTACTGAGGTAAATAGTGTGAGGGCTGCTGCTTCACTGACTCAGACTGAAAGTGTCACAAAAAGAAAGATGGCAAAAGAATGTAGTTGGACTCTTACCTCACACCATATAAAAATTAACTCAAAATGGATCAAAGACTTAAATATAAGAGCTAAAGGTGTAAAACTCTTAGAAGAAAACAGGCATAAATCTTTGTGACCTTGGATTAGGCAGCAGTGTTACATATGATACCAAAAGCACAAGCAACAACAAAAAATAAGACTTCATTAAAATTTAAAGACAGCTATTCTTCAAAGGGAACTCTCAAAAAAGTGGAAAGACTACCCATAGAATGCAAGAAAATATTTGCAATTCATATATCTCATAAAGGATTCATATCCAGAATATATGAAGAACTGTTACAACTCAATAATTAAAAGACAAATTGCTGGGCCGAGCCTGTGACGCACTCGGGAGAGTGCAGCACTGGGAGCACAGCAGTGCTCCCGCCGCGGGTTCGGATCCTATATAGGGATGGCCGGTGTGCTCACAGCGCTCACTGGCTGAGCACAGTGTGGCCGTTCTCAAAAAGCACAAAAAAATAAAATAAAATAAAATAAAAGACAAATTGCCCAATTAAGAATAGGCAAAAGATTTGAATAAACATTTCTCCAAAGAAAATATACAAATGGTAAATAAACACATGCAGGAAGCCCAGCATCGTTAATCTTTAGGGACATGCAAATCAAAACCACATTGAGATACCACTTCACACCCACTAGAATGGATATAGTGAGAAAAATGGACAATAACAAGTGTTGACAAGAATGTGGAAAAATTGGAACCCTCATACATTGCCAGTGGGAATGTGAAATGGTGCAACTGCTTTGGAAAACAAGTCTAGCCATTACTCAAATAGATAAACATAGAATTACCATGTGACCCAGCAATTCTTCTCCAAGAGAATTGAAAACATATGCCCATACAAAAACTCGTATGTGAATGTTCATAGCACCATTATGCATAATAGCTAAAAACTGGAAACAATCCAAATGTCTACTAATTGATGAATGGATAAACAAAATGCAGTATGTCTATACAATGGAATATTATTCACCTGTAAAAAAGGAATAAAGTACTGATACATACTGTAACATGATTAGCCTCAAAACACTAAGCTAAATGAAAGAAACCACACACTAAAGTCCGTATATTCTGTTATTCCATTTATGTGAAATGTGCAAGACAGGCAATTTTATTACAGACAGAAAGTAGATTAGTGGTTGCCAGAGGCTCCTGGGGAAAGGGAAAATAGGGTGAGGGTGCTGCTGCTAATGGGTACAAGGTTTCTTTCTAGGGTGGTGAAAAGTTCTGGAATTATATGGTAGTCATGGTTGCACGACTTTAAAAATGTATTAAAACCTACTGAGTTATGCACTTTTAAAAGGTAAATTTTATGGTGTTAGGATTATATCTCAATATAAGTACATGCATACATATATGCATACATGCTAAAAAAATTAAAAAAGAAAGCTGCATCTGCCCTCTAGAAAAAGCAGGAACAAAGTCACCATTGGCCTTTCCAAAAATACAGCATCAGGAAACTTTACCAAGTTCATTCTAAGGATGGGTACCTACGGGAACAGGGATCCAGCTTCTCACCAAATGAGCATCCTTTTCTTCTGTTTTTCTTTGCCTTATTCCTCTCTCAAGCTTAGTGGTTGGGAGAAATGACTAGTTCAGTGGGGAGAAAAAAGGTGGTCCTTCTGCTTCAGTCTTCAGGTCAGTGTTACATGTCATGAGCTGTCATATACACTAGCGGTTCCAAATGTATTACAGCATTTGTCTCTCTCTAATACTGCCTTTATTAGTTTTGTGCTGTGTTTTGCTTTTCTTTGGCTGAGTTGTCTTTTGGTTTTATTGCTTCTGCTTATTTTTATTGCTTCTGCTTATTTATTTTTACAGAAAAAATCCTCACAGCGAACAAAGTACAAGACCACCGAGACCTAATTGTGGAGGACACACAGCCATTATTTCTGTCTGGTTTTGGTGTCAGGGCAATGCTGGCCTCATAGAAGGAGTTAGGAAGTATTCCCTCTGCTTTAATCCTCCGAGAGAGATTGCAGAGAATTGGTATAATTTCTTCCTTAAATGTTTGGGAGAGTTCACCAGTGAACTCCTGTAGGCATTGAGTTTTCTGTTTTGAAAGGTTACTAATGATTGATTCCATTTCTTTAATAGATATAGGCCTGTTCAGATTGTTTCTTCTTTTATGAATTTTGGCAGATTTTGTCTTTCAAGGAGTTGGTCCATATCATTCAGGTTAACAAATTTGTGGGCATAGAGTAGTTCACAGCATTCCTTTATTATCCTTTAATGCATCTGTAGTGATGGCCCCTCTTCCATTTCTGATATTAATAATTTGTATCCTCTCTCTCTTTTTCTTGGGTTGCCTGGCTAGAGGATTTTTGATTTTATCGATCTTTTCAAAGAACCACTTTTTGGTTTTGTTGATTTCCGCTTTCAATTTTATTGATTTCTGCTCTAATTTTTATTATTTTTTTTTTCTTTTGCTTACTTTGGATTTAATTGGCTCTTCTTTCACTAGTTTCCTAAAGTGGAAAATAGGATTATTGATTTTAGATCTTTCTTTTTTTTTTTAATATATGCATTCAGTGCTGTAAATTTCCTTCTCAGGACTGCTTTTCTGTTCTTTTAGATTTGTTGAAGTGTGTTTAATGTGGTCTGTTTTGGTGAGTGTTCCATGTGAGTTTGAGAAGAATGTGTATTCTCCTCTTGTTGGATAAAGTAGTCTAAAGGTCAATTATATCCAGTTGATTGATTGTGACGTTGAATTCAATTGTGTCCTTACTAATTTTCTGCCTGCTGGATCTGTCCATTACTGATAGAGGGGTGTTGAAGTCTCTAACTCTAAGAGAGGATTCATCTATCTCTACTTGAATTTTATCAGTTTTTGTTTCATGTAGTTTGATGTTCTGTTGTTAGATGCATGCATGTAAAGGATTGTTTTGTCTTCTTGGAGAACTGGCCCCTTTATCTTTATGTTATGCCTCTCTTTATCCCTAATAACTTTCCTTGCTTTGAAATCTGCTCTGTTTGAAATTAATAAACTACTGCTTTCTTCTAATTAGTGTTAGCATGGTATCTTTTTCTCTATCCACTTACTTTTAATCTATCTGTGTCTTTATATTTAAAGTGGGTTTCTTGTAGACAATGGGTTGTTGGGTCTTGTATTTTGATCAACACTGACAATCTCTGCCTTATAAGTGGTACATTTAGATCATTGATGTTGAAAGTGGTTATTGATATAGTTGGATTCATGTCTGTCATATTTGTTTTTTTTTTAAATGTTTTGTTTTTATTGGTTATGAATATTCATGGGATACAAAGCAGATTGTCACCACTCATGCCTAAGATGTGATGGCCAGATCCATATTGGCAGCATGTCCATTACCACAAGTTGTGATTATACCCTATGTCCCCCACCCAATTATCCCCTCAATTATCCCTGACCTCCCTCCCCATCCCCCTTTCCCCACACCACTTTGTATCCCTAGGTATGTTCTCTCCCTCTGCAAGCCCAATGTACCACTGTGGTCTTTCTTTCTTTTCTTCTTTATCTCTTAGCTCCCATGTATGAGAGAGTACATACGGTATTTATCCCTCTGTGCTTTGCTTATTTCACTCAATATAAGTTTCTCCAGGCTCATCCATGTTGTTGCAAATGGGAGAATTTCATTCTTTTTATGGCAAAGTAGTATTCCATGGTGTATACATACCACAGTTTCCTTATCCAGTCATCCATAAATGGACATTTAGGTTGCTTCCATATCTTAGCTATTGTGAACAGAGCTGTGGTGAACATGGTAGTGCAGGTATCCCTTTGACATGATGATTTCCATTCCTTTGGGTATATACCCAGAAGTGGGATTGCTGGATCATGTGGAGGATCTATCTGTAGTTGTTTGAGAAACCTCCATACTGTTTTCGATAGTGGTTGTACTAATTTACAGTCCCACCAACAGTGTAGGAGCGTTCCCTTCTCTCTGCATCTTCACCAGCATTTGTTATTCTGCGCCTTTTGATTATAGCCAGTCTAACTGGGATGAGGTGACATCTCAATGTGGTTTTAGTTTGCATTTCCCTGTTGACTAGTGATGTTGAGCATTTTTTCATGTACCTAGTGGCCATTTGTATGTCTTCCTTTGAAAAATGTCTGTCCAGTTCCTTTGTCCATTTTTAAATTAGGTTATTTGTTTTTTTTTTTACTATATAATTGCTTGAGTTCCTTGTGTATTATGGATATTAATCCCTTGTCTGATGCATAGTTAGCAAAAATTTTCTCTCACTCTGTAGGTTGTCATTTCACTCTCTTGGTTGTTTCCTTTGCTGTGCAGAAGCTTTTTAGTTTGATATAATCCCATTTGTTTATTTTTTCTTTTGTTGCTTATGTCTGTCATTTTGTTTCTATTTGTTGCTCTTGTTCTTTTGTTCCTATTTTTGTCTTCCACTCTTTTCCTGCCTTTTGTGGTTTTAATTGAGCATTTCATATTATTCCATTTTCTCTCCTTTCTTAACATATAAATTATACTTCTTTTTTAAAAACTTTTTTTAGTGGTATCTGATGTTAATTTGGAGAAAATCTGAGTCATTATTGTTTCAAATATTTCTCCATTCCTTTCTCTTCCTATTCTCCTTCTGGTATTTCCAATACATGTATGTTACACACTTTGCCGTTGTCCCAAAGTCTTTAGATATCCTGTTCTATTTTTTTTTTCTTCAGTCTTTGTGTTCTTTGCTTTTCAGTTTTAGAGGTTTCGGTTGATATCCTTAAGTTCCAAGATTCTTTTTTTAGCCATATCTAGTCTGTTAATAAAGCCCATTTGGTCACAGTGTTTTTGATCTCTACTGGTGGTGAGCCAGTTTGTTATTCTCTACCTTTTGTGGGGGATTGAAGGGAGTGGGAGGAACATCTTATCAACTCATTATAAACCACAGATTTTATAGATTTGATGTGTTTGAATCAGTTGTGGTCATTCTTTTTGATACTCAAATTGTCTCATCTCTGGCCAGTAGAGATTTCTTCTAATTGGCTATGTGTCACTTTGACACTACTCTATTAGTCTGAGCCATTAACTTCTGGGTAGCAGTTTCCTCCTCTTTAAGTAATTGGATTAGTTAGTCTTTAAGATTCCTTTCAGGGCCGGCCCAGTGGCACACTGGATAGTGCGCCGCTTGGGAAGCGTGGCGGCGCTCCCAACCGAGGGTTCAGATCCCACATACAGACCGGTTCCCGCTCACTGGCTGAGCGAGGCGCGGGAGCAACACCGAGGGTTGCAATCCCGTTGCCGGTCCCCGGTCTGGTACGGGGGCAACACTGAGGGTTGCGATCCGTTGCCGGACACGGAAAAAAGACAAAAAAAAAAAAAAAAAAAAGATTCCTTTCAGTTGTAGCTTACCTACCAGAGAAAAGATGCCATATTCTAATATTCTACAATTAAATTGCTTATGCTGAAAATCTACTACTATTTTGATTTTTTTTCTCTTTAGAGTTCACACAGGGGGTGAGTTAATGCATTTGAAAGCATGGAATGTTTTTGTTTCTCTCTTTCTCTGATCTTTTAGCTCCTACTTACATGATGCTGGCTCAGGACAGTTCCACACTCTAAACTCAGTATCTTGGTAGAAAACAAAACAGTATAAATATTTCTTCACATTTGTGACAAGGCTTACCAAAGAAATCCTTGATTTGGAAGATGGTTTGGTTTTGAAATATATCAGTAACATAGTTGTTATTATTCCAAATGGGATATTTTTCTTCCTTTCTATGTGGGGTATCAGGCATGAAGAATAGACAGGTGCACTTCATCCCGTAGGCCTGGGAAGTCAGAACGGTGCACTAAGAAGGCCTGAGGCCTCCCAGGGAGCTGGTCAGGCGAGACCAGAAGGCTGCAAAGCTGGCCAAGGCTTGCCAGGTGGCTGCAGAGTCAGCCTTAGTCCTTACAAGCCGGGAGCTGGAGCTCGTCCATCCAGTCAGCATATGAACCAGATCCAGGCAACTGGGCCAAGTCCCTGAGGCTGTCTCTGGGACCAGAAGGTATAACCAGAGGGAAGCATGGATTTAAATTCCTGAGCATAAAAGAAAAGTTTAGCATATCTAAGAAGGCGCAGAAAGTGACTTCTTGTAAATGCTTGAAGGACACTGTTGCATACCAAACCATATACAATAAAATTTTAACAGAGCCTGTGTTCTGTTTCCATCTGTGCCCTGTGGAGCAATTGTGACTTCAAAGGCAACTCTGTAGGGTGCAGGGAGAAGAGAGCACACTTTTGTTTCTAATTTTGGCACAAATCCACAAAACTATTTTCGATGGCCAAGAAACAAAACTTACATTCCTTCTAAATTCATCTGCATTCAGCAGATTCACCTTTGTTTTTCTACATGATGGTTTCCACTTCAACCTGTCCATTCTCTCTACTTTGAGGCTTTGTTTTGCATGAAAAAGGGAAGAGTGATGCTAGATGATTTCAAGTGGAGCCTCAAACAGCCCAGTTCATAAATCTTTCCCCTCTCCAGCTTCCTTTTCTTCCTACCATGTGTGTCTTCTGAGTTTAAAATAGTTGTTTGTAAGAATGTTTACAACATGAAACATGCCTTTAATAGGAGTCTAAGATGTAAAAAGGAGCTCCTGGTTTCATTTCAATGTGATGGGTGAGTATGGCCTCAACCCAAGGCATGTGTACGGTGGCTGTCTGTGTGCACGCACATGTGTGTGTGGTGTGTTTGTGTGCATGTGTGTGTGGGGTGTGTGTGTCTGTCTGTGTGCAAGCTTCTAGAGAACTTGGGATTCCGTTCATCATAGAAATTAGAGATGTCAAGGTTGCTTTCAGTGACTCCATCTCTCCTTTACCAACACAGGACAGTTCCTTGTGGCTTGGCTTTGAGGCTCTTGGCCTGTCTCTGCCAGCCTTGCCAACACCCCTTCACACCTGCACTTCAGTGGAGACTGATTCAGCATCCGTTGTTTTTTATTCCTTTTGGCCTATTTTTTTTCAGATAGTTTTTATTACTCCTTTTCTAAACTCCATGTTCCCTATCCTGTTTGAAACTTTGAATCTTGATGAGGTTGGGTGGCAGGTCTGCTTGTTAAACCGTGATCCTAATGAGCCTCAATGGGTTGGTTTTATTGCCTTAAGGGTTTTTGACTTCTCAGAGAGAAGTTATCACTGTGTGTGAATTTTTCATCCCTACTAGGTGAAAAAGCCCAGGTCTGATTATTATGGGTCAATAAATGAAGGACAAGATATTATTGGCTTTGATGTCTTTGATATTAGATTTCTTTTTTATTTGTGCATTAATAACTCATAACTCATTGATCTTTTCCCTAATCTTTGTTAGTGATATTGCCTTATATTGTAAAGGACAGTAATACAATATTAGTAACTGTTTTATCAATATGATAAAAGCTTTACCTCCTGCCTCCCTCTTCATCCTTCATCAAAATAAGACCTTCCTTGAAGGGCTGGGTTATGGGATTGAATGAATTTATGTTGGTCTAGTATGCAGTGTTATAATCTAAAAGAATTTGTCAAGTGGCCAAGTGTATCAGGTATTATATGAAATTCCATAAATATCAAGAGGTATTTAAGTCACTTGCAAATATTGTCTACCTTCTATATGCATAAAATTGCATAGAATGGTGCTAATAAACACACACACACACACACACACACACACACACACACACAGATGGGGATTTCCCTCAGAGAGCTTACTGATATAGTCTAGCAGAGGAAAAAAACTTACATGAAACATTTATTAATAATATAAGAAAAATTAAATCTAAACTTTAAATTGGTCGAGGCTGGCTATACATATATATGTATGTATATAAATAAAAAATGTAATCAGAATTCAGAGGAGGGGGACTATAGACTAGATGAGTTGGAGGTGCCACTATGAAAGAGAAGGAAGTATTTGGATAATTTGGTGTGTGTGTTGGGGGTGAGGTGGGGTAAAGGAAAGGTCCAGGCATGGGAAATGGCACTTGTAAGTCCAAACAGAGGGAGTAAGTGGCAAGCATTTATTTGAAAGGCAGGATGACTTGAGCTCATGGCTTTTATGACATAAATGATTTAGTGAGCTTTTTACTAATAGCTTCGGTGTATGAATAAAGTTGATGATAAAGAATTTTTAGAACATGCTGTTTTATCTACACAGTAGCAATTATCCTCAAATCATATTATTGCTAGTTTAGTTTAAGTAGTTTAGACTATTTGCCAAAGTTGAAAGAAAAATATTAAATTAAAAGCATTTGTATTCTCAAGTACACTGGAGAGCCCTAAAATTATGCAAGGCACAAATTGACCTTTGACTTTGCACAAGAAGATTTAAATACTGTAAGATCTAGGGAAGAGAGGACTATGTGTGTCTCCCCAGAGACACATCTCAGCACACTGCCTTGCACATGGTGGATTTTTAATAGTTTTCATTGAATGAATGCACGAATTTAATAGAAAGACAAACTTTAGTGTTGACCTCAAAGGGATGCTATAAATGACACTCCAGGATACCCATAGGAGGTCGTCTTCACTGTTCAGGAAACATGTTAAGCATTGGTAAATTCCACTGATATGAGGTATTTCATAATATTTTTGAATGATTATTAGAACAAGCCCAAATGATTTTTTTGAGCATCTTCTGTGACCCAAGCAACTTAAGAGAAGGTATGTGAGACTTGATTCTTGATACTACAAAACTAATCGGGAAGATCAGAGTATTCTCTGGGGCAAAATTAGAAAATAAAGACAATATACGAGGCAAAAATACTTGAGGGGAATATAAATTGGTGACTTTGCTACTGCTCTTTTTTTCTCATTTCTCTTTCCTTAGGAAATTGATCTGTCATATTTTTAGTGTCAAACTCTGCTGATGACTCAAATCGATGTCTGTTCTTGAATTCATACCCAGACGCTAAACATTTTCCCATCATCTCAAACTTCAGGTCTCTAAACCCAAGGTCTGTCTCTTCCAACCAGGTTGTCTCTTTTCCTTTTCCATCTATTACAACACTCTCGTCCCAATCATCCAGGCTCAAAATTGCTCATAATTTCTGCATATCTATATTTCCTTATGTTTATCAGTTGCCATGGCCACTGTGTTCTGGACTGTGAGTAGATCAAGAGAATAGGTTTTTAATCACGTGAGCCCAAATGTGCAGAGCAAGTGTGGTAGAGAGAAGGAAATGAAGTAATACTCTTGGGGCTCTTAGATAGAAGACACAGACGGTAGAGTTTTGACTTAATGGCACTGAGATAGATATGTTTCAGGGCAAGAGATACAGTGGGAGATAGTCCCACATTCTTTGGCCTGAGAATGTATTTGCATATACATTATCTGTTAACTTTCTTAATATTGGTATAACAAATTTTGATAAATAGAATTTTGCTTCCAAAGTTTTGGAAAAACTTAGTATTTAAAGGAAACATACTATTAAATGTGCATTTTTCTATCACTGTATTTTTCTGGTATACTGGTACATTTACATGCAAAACACATTGATTCTTAGCCACATAATCTCCAGGCTGTTCTCTGGGTTACTGTTGATTAGTGGGATGAACTGCCAGGTGTCATGGACTAACTTCCACCAGTGGTATTTAAACAGAGATGGCATTCTTAGTTGTGAACCTGGCATTGGGTAGGAGATTGGACTAGCTCTCTATGACTCTTTCTAAGATTAAGATTTTATGATTTTACAGTGATTAGTAAGATGATCATTTAGTAATTTATTTCTATGATATATGTAGTATGCTAGTAATGTGCATACATTGATTTTGGCTTTCTCTATGGCACTTTGGAAGGCATAAGTTTGAGCACTTAAAAATGACATCCACGGGTGGCATCATTGGCAGAGTATTTGTAGATTGCACTATAACTGTTGAAATAAACTGAATTTTTTTTTTTACTTTATTTGCCAACATTTTGGTAGGGTGGAGCTCCATGGAAGGGGCTAGACTTTGGAAGCACTCGGTTTCGCATTATTGTGGCATTAAGGTGATCCATCCCCAGACACTTAGTCTGACTAAATTTATAAAGTCATATAGTTATAAAGACTCAGGTTATCTCTCTGTAAGAGAGGTAGAAAGGGATAGAAAGAAATACCTTTTCTTTTTTTGAACTGGAGCTATGTAAGACAAGGGATGAAAGAATGTAATTTTGGGGGGTGTGATCTATACTGTAAAAAAAACAGTTTCAGAGCCAAGCGTACTTTAGAAATGATCTCCTGGGTTTTTCAGCCAAGTCCAATTTTCTCAGTCTGATGTTTTCAGAGATCTTCCTTCTACTTCAAGGAGGAAGTTAGAGGTTATTGTATGAATCTTGAAAATGTAGTTCCTTTAGATCCTTTGCCAGTATCCCATCACTATCATGAAACAAAGAACATCCACCACTCACACAATGGAAGAATGCCTTTGAACCAAATCGACCATAGAGAAAATATCTTCCTAGCAGCAAGTGCAGCACTGCGTGTATCTAGCACTGACTTCGGACTTGGGCGTGTGCCCCTCCTCTGAAGAGCTCAGCTCTATCCAGGAAGCTTCTTCATTCCTGTTCTACCCCTCTCATGTAGGTGGCCCTGGGTGTTCTTGCTGTCATGAAATGCTTTTGAAGAGTACTAATTAATAAATGTAGCAGGATGATGGAAGAGGAAATCACTGTTTTACAGCAACCATAGTAATTAATAAGAGATTCAGGCAAGAATGATCAGTGGATGCCAATATCAGTGAATGAAAGATTGCTGGGGAACAGAATATTCACGAAGTGTTACCCCCTGGACTACTTAATTACAGAGGTAAAAAGGCACCTTTGCAATAGAGACTATCTTAAACAAGTGACCAAGTGTAAATAATTTAACATCACCAATAGAGGAACCAGTTGATGTCACACACCCTCTGATGTCTTCTCTCCCTGTCACTGAGGCAGCATTCCTGCCACAAGGTTTAACCCGAATTGAATTATGATGAAACAATCAAACAAATCCAAAAATGAGGGCTTGTACTCTTAAGAAATCCTAGTCATTATAGACAAGAAAGGCTGGGGGAACTGCTTTTTGGTTAAAGGAGACTAAAGAGATGTGACATCTAAATGCAGTATGTGATCTGGGAATGCATTCTCGGTCAGGACAACGGCTATAAAGGATATTTATTGAGTCATCTGGAGAAATTTGGAAATGGACTGTATGTTAGATAATAATGTACCAGTGTTAAATTTCCTGTGATAATTGTACAGATGTAAGAGAATGACTTTGTTCTGAGGAGATTTGTATTGAAGTATTTATGACTCAATTGTCATTATGCTTGCTACGAAATTTCAAATGGTCCACATATATACATATAAATGATATAAAAACATATATATGATCATATTATTTACATATAATTTATAATAAACATAAATATATACAATAATTCAAATATAATATATTAAACATATTACATATATTTGCTTTATACACACAAACATGTTACATTAAATTACATATATTTGCTTTATACACACACACACACATATGTTTATGTGTGCGTTTAAAGCAATATGGCAAAATGTTGACAATTGGTGAATCCAGACAGATGGCATCTTTATATCACTATTTTTGAAAACTTCTGAACGTTTGAAACTTTTTTAAAATAAAAAGTTGGGAAAAAAGAACTTTCGTGTTAAGGATGAGATAGTGGAGAAAAATGTTGAGCTGTTAAATTCATGTTCATGAGACAATGACATTTTATTACTGTTTGAATAAAATAGAACATATAACCCATTAAAAATAAGTATTCACAAACATAAGGTGTTACATGAAATTGATTCAGATAGTCTAGAATTAACTGTTTTGAGAGTAGAGAAAGATTACTGTTGGACACCTTGGTCTTTGTCTTCTTTCATTTTCCATGATATTAATTCTCCCCTATTGTGAGTGTCCAGCTCACAGGACTGTTGTAAGAATGAATGAGATAATGTATGTCACAGTGCTCTGTAAGCTGTGAAAATAATGTCTCTAGGCTTCTTTGTGTTTAGGATATAACTAGTGATGAATTATAACACCCAATGTTGTATTTTATCACTATACGGAATATGCATGCATAGGAAGACAAACTTCCTATGGCTTTATTAAGACTCATTCTATACATTTGCAATTTAGAAAAATAAAGATGACTTCGTTTAGATGAGATTAATATAGTTCTGCCAATGGTATACCTAGAACATTGTCTAAATACATAAAACAAATATTAGCTTTTTTAGTAATGAAAAAACTTCACTTACTTTTAATGCTCATTTAACCATGTGTACTTATGGAATATTTTTCCCCAGAGGTTGGAAAAAGAGCAGACAAGAGCTTTAACATAAGTCAATAGAACATTAAGTAGAGAAAAGCTGAGAGTTGCTTACTGGGCTATTATCTTGTGATAATTCCAATTTAGGTTTTAAGTATGCTTTCAGATTTTTATTGTTACGCTAAATATAAAACCGAATCAATGTATGTGGAGTACTTAGAATGAATAAAAATAATGAACATTTTGCCCCTTCTAAGGGAGGCAGGCCAGAGTGTCTATAAAATGGTGACATTTTGATCCTGACTTGAAGAAAACTGTATAGAAAGAATTAGGGAGCAGCAAACATAAACCATTAGCTGAAGGAGACATGCCTGTCAGTTATTGAACTTGACACACATCTTCAGTTGGGGTGGATGGTTCAGATAGAGCCTGTGGTGGGCACAGGTTTCATTGGTTAGTAGCTGTAGGGATACTAGGTCAGCCAGACAGACACTAGGTTGCTGTTTTCGTTAATTTGGCATATAAGGAGATTATGATTATAAATTATTAACAAACCATTGAGTAATTACTGTTACTAGGAGCAATGTGAAATGCTCTATGTGTGTTTTCTCCGTTAACCCTCACAATATCCCCAAGCTAGGTATAGACTTCTAATATTCTTGTTTTATAGAGAAGCTGTACCCAGAGGTAGATAACTTACATCACGCAGATACGGTGACAAAGTTGCTATTTGAACCCGGGTTGTCTGACGCCAGAGCCCATTTCATAACCACCGTGCTGTACTCAACTGACTCTCTAAACTTGATATTTGAGAGAACAGATTAAGAAGATATAGAGACTTTTTAGTGATACAGAGATTCTTTTAGTGATGGTAGAATAAAAGGGACTGGAATTACTCTTTTAAATAAAAAAAACTAAAAGTAACTAGGCAATATACATGACACAACAGTTTTCAGGCATTAGAGAAGTATCACTAGACAGTGATCCTTCAGAGAAGGCAAACAAATGAGGTGGCTCCAGTTTACTGCCTGGAGAGAGTTCCTGGCTGTAGCACAGGGACGTGCATTATATTTTCAGATACGTGACAGAGCCCATCAATCACCCAAAGTTGAGAAGACAGTGTTCAGAGTTTGGAGAGGCTAAGGCCACTAGAATTCACAGAATAATGTCGTGGATAGGAGGGAACTACGCAGACAAACAGCTCTGGGGATCTGCAGAGTTCTCAGTGAATTCATGCAAGGAAATTGCATGAGCCTGGGTAAAGACGCAGGCAAGAATCTGGTGAAATCATTCCTGAAACTCATTAGTTTCTTTTTCCACCCCCCACAGTGGAAAGAACTCTTAATATGCAGGGTATCAACTGCAGTTCTCAGAAGACCATTGCTTCAGTTGTGAGGCCAAATTATCTCTAGACTAAAGGCTATTCTGGTCTTATTTAACAAAGATTAAGAGTGAGCCATGGAAAGATCAAGTTGTATCCAAGTAACTTTATTGCATCAAGCTCAATCTTAAAAATATTTCAAAGATTATAAAAAACTCTAGCCTCAACAGAGTAAAATTCACATTGTCTAGCATTCATTAAAAAATTACCAGCCATTCAAAAATGCAGGAAAATATGACCCATAATGAGGAGTAAAACAGTATATAGAAAAAGGCCCAGAAATGACACAGATGATAGAATTACTACACAAAGACTGCTATGGACTGAATTGTGTCTCCCTCCATTGCCCCTAAGTCATATGTTGAAGCTCTATCCCCAATGTGATGGTATTTGGAGATGGCGCATTTGATAATTTGGTAATTGGTGTTAGATGACATCATGAGAATGGGGCCCTTGTGATGGGATTAGTGCCTTTATAAGAAGAGGAAGAGGGAGAGAGATTGCTCTCTCTCTGTCATGTGAGGATACACAAGAAGGCAGCTGTGTGCAAGCCAGGAAGAGGGTCCTCACCAAGAACCAAGTTGGTTGGCACCTTGATCTTGGACTTCCTCATCTCCAGAACTGGGAGAAATAAATATCTGTTGTTTAAGCCACCCAGTCTGTGGTATTTTGTTACAACAGCCCAAGCTGACTAATACAATGACATTAAAACAGCTATCATATATATACTCCATATGTCCAAGTAAGTAGAGGAAAACACATGAGTATGACAAAGAGAGACACGGAATAACATAAAATAAACCTAAATCAATTTAAGACAAAAAAACAAAATACACTGGGTGGCTTAACAGCAAATTAAATGTTGCCAATAAAAAAGTTAGTAGTTGGGCCGGCCCGGTGGCGCACTCAGTTGAGTGCGGCGCTTGGGAGCGAGGCGGCGCTCCCTCCGAGGGTTCAGATCCCATATAGAGACTGGTCCGCTCACTGGTTGAGGGCGGTGCGGGCGCGACACCGAGGGTTGCGATCCCATTGCCGGTCGCGGTATGGACGTGACACCGAGGGTTGCGATCCCATTACCGGTTACGAAAAAAAGACAAAAAGGAAAAAAAAAACAGTAAACTTGAATACATAACAATTATCTAAGATGAAACAGGGAAAAAAAGAACTAAAAAAAATGAACAACATCAGTGAGTGGTGGGACAACTGCAAGTAGCCTGTCATATTTGTAACTGTAGTCACAAAATGAGGGTGGGGAGGAATAGAAATATACCTTAAAAAAATAATGGCTGAAAGTATTCAAATTTTGTGCAAACTATAATCTCACAGGCTCAACAAGCCCCAATTAGAAGAAAGTGAAGAAAACTACACCAAAGCACATAATCAAATTGCTTAACACCTTAGAAGTAGCCTGAGATGAAAGACATTATGTATGGAAGAACAAAGGTGAGAATGAGCAGACTCCTTGTTGGAAATAATGCAAGTAAGAAGATAATGGAATAGCACCTTTAAAGCACTGAAAGGAAAAAAAATCTCAAATATCTTGGAAAAAAAAAAGAAATAAAATAAAGACTTTTTCAGACACACAAAAACTGAAAGAATTCATCACCAGCTGACTACCACGGCAGGAAATGTCAAAGGAACTCTCCTTCAGGCAGCAGGAAAATGATACCAAATGGAACCTGGATCTACACAGAGGAACGAAGGGTGCCAGAAAAGGCAAATAGGAATATAAATACAAAAGATGTTTTGTTTTTAAAAGTGTGTTTAAAAGACAATTAACTGTTTAAAGCAAAAATAGTAACAATGTTTTATGGGGTATTGTAGAAGTAAAATATATGACAGTAGTAGTGCAAAGCTTTGCTAG